GCCTCTGCTACTCCAGTTGGTATAAGGCAGTGACTCTCATGATGTGGTCCCTCACCCCCACCCCACCAGCAACAGCAGCATCACTTGGGGACTTGTGAGAAATACAAATTTCTGGACACACACCAGATCTTCAGAGTCAGAAACTTTGGGGATTGGGCCCAGAAATAGGTGTTTTAGCAAACTTAACAGGTGATTCTGATGCATGCTGACGTTTGACAATAGTGTAGGGAAAAGCACACTGGTTCCTGTGTCTTTGTTTTGATTTAGCCTGGCAGCCATGTGACCAACCACAGCTGGATTTCTAAATCCCTCAAAGTTCAGTATCTACCAGTGTAAAATAAGAAGGTTGGAATGATGCCTGAGGACTCTTGTGATCTAAGATTTTGTGAAATAGCAGAAGCGGATAGAAAGTACATAAATGTCCAATGACTAGATTCATTCATTCAATCAACAAGTATTTATGTAGCAGGCAGTTTTCTAGGCATTGAATCAATGCATGACACAAAGTTTCTTTCTTTCTTTCTTTTTTTTTAAGAAAAGCTTCTTCTAAGGTTGATCTTTTTATTAAACATTACTCCTTTTTTTAATGAAAGCTGTTGCAACATTCAAGACCACAAACTGTTACCTGTCTACAATATTCTCATACTACATCTGTCATACAGTGTGAACTAGAAAACTGAGATAATGATCCAAAGAGTTCTGACCACCCCTCCCCTAGATATTACTCTGACTTTAATTTAATTCTTGAACAATTTTGCTTAAGGAAGGAGCTCTGGTGGCATAGTGGGTAAGACATTTGGCTGCTAAGAGAAGGTCAGTGGTTCAAACTCACCAGCTGCTCCGTGGAAGGAAGCCATGGCAATCTACTTCCATTAAGATTTACAGCCTTGGAAAACCAGTAGGGGCTGCTATGAGTAGGAATAAACTCCATAGCGGTTTTCTTTTTTTCTCTTAAGGGGCTTCAGTATCAATGTAAATAAATGTGATTACCTATCAATTAGTATATCTCTCGTTCTACATTACTTCATGTCAACAACTTGCTTAGTCTTCCAGGATATCTAATTCTCCCTAATTCTGTGGCCCCTTTGATTTTCTCTTCTCAGTAGTTACTACCAGTACTGCTTGAGTAAGTTCCTGTGTGACTCTTCCTGCTACCTTTTGACAAGCTTCCTTCCCTCATTGAACTTTCATATATCCCAACACAAAAATTCAGAGCACTTAAAAGGTTCCTGTAATGTGTTTTAGACAAGTGAATTGAAATATAAGATTATAACCTTGATATTTTTAACTTTAAACAAACCAATAAAAGTCACACTTGGACACTGATAACCTTGATATTTTTAACCTAAAACAAACCCAAAAAAAGTCACGCTTGGACACTGATTCTCTGATCCATTCACTTTTCATTTCATTAACAAGGCCTGGAGATGGCGCTAGAGGCAAAAAAAAAAAAAGCTCCGCTTTTACTAGGTGATAACTGAACCAGAGAGGAAGACGTTGGAAGTGAAATAAATGTGCTAGAGTTTGAGCGAAAACGAGAAAAAGGGAGAAGTATCGCTTTTTTTCCCCCCAACCTTTAAGAGTCCTCTTGATAAGCAGCGCTGGTGGAGCAGAGGTTAAGGTATTCGGCTGCTAACCAAAGAGTTGACAGTTCAAACCCCTCAGCAGCTTCAAAGGAGAAAGATGAGGCAGGTAAAGATTCCCAGCCTTGTAAACCCTATGGGGTAGCTCTGGTGGCGTAGTGCCCAAGGCACTTGACTGCTAACCGGAAGGCTGGCGGTTCAAACCCACCAGCCACTCCTCAGAAGGAAGGTTGGGCAATTACTTCCATAGTGATACCGCCTCGGAAACCCAAGGAGGGGTCTCTATGAGTCAAAATCGACTCGAAGGCAATGAGTTTGGTTTGGTTTTTAAACCCTGTGAAGCAGTTCTGGGAGCTCTGGTAGCGTAGTACCTAAGGCATTTGACTGCTAACCAGAAGGCTGGCGGTTCAAACCCACCAGCCACTCCTCGGAAGGAAGATGGGGCAATCTACTTCCGTAGTGATACCGCCTCAGAAACCCAAGGAGGCGTCGCTGTGAGTCGAATCCAACTCCACGACACATAACAACAACAACAACATGGGGCAGTTCTACTCTGTTTATAGGGTCGCTACAAACCAACTGGAGTCGACAACGAGTTTGGGTTCTTGACACCTACTCCAAATCAGCATGGCTGGAAAGCAACAATAGAATAAAGCCAAATGATCAAAATAAGGCCAAGTCCATGGAGGAAGAGGCTTGCCTTCTCTCTTTCTCTCTCTCTCTCTCTCTCTCTCTGCCCCTCCACCCCCCCAATGTCTGCTCCCAGAAACCAGGGCTTTTGTCCATTTGGGACCCGGGTGGGGGGGTTTACAGAGGCTGCACATGCAGGAGCGGGAAAGTGTTGCTTTGAGGCTAAGACATCTTTGTGAAACAATGATCAATTGTAGAAGCAAAATCCCAGAGCCCACCAGCGGTGAAGCACTTCCTAGAGGAGTAACAAAGAAACAAAAAATAATAATCATTTAAATTTATCAATTCACAGACCAACCAGGAGGTGGCGCCTGGCAAAACACACTACATGCCTTGGGAGGCTGAATCCCAGTCCCAGAACTCTGTCCTGGCAGATGTCATTCTGTCCAGGCATCTTCTTTTCTACCATGGCTAAAAAGTGTCTGGTTTCTTGCTTTTTCCATTCGTCTGTACTAATCTAAATGTAGTCTCACTTACACTTTAAGCATTTTTATTCTTCTTGAATGGGATGGGATGGAGTAACCTCAAAATATAAAACTTTCCTTCAGGAGAATAATAATTTGGTGGGTAACCAAACCAAAAAACAAACCCACTGCCATGGATTCAGACCCGACTCATAGCGACCCCTCCTTGGGTTTCTGAGGCAGTATCACTACGGAAGTAGTGGCCAACCTTCCTTCCCAGGAGTGGCTGGTGGATTTGAATCACCAGCCCTCTGATTAGCAGTCAAATGCCTTAGGCACTATGCCACCAGAGCTCCTAATTTGGTGGGTAATGGGGGAATAAAAAAAGGAAATGACCTCTGCAAAAATGGCAGATCAATCAGAGGAGACAGAAAAGCAAGGCGGGCTCCTGCCTGTGCGCGGGTTGATGACCCAGCACATGCATTATTCTGTTCATTTGGCTTTTAGCCTGCTCCCTTATTTAGCTTCTGCTCCCTTTGTTTGGACCATTTATTACTACTTGGCTTGAGCAAAGAGGGAAAAGAGAGCTCAAATGAGTATATCCTCCTGGCTAGTGTTTCTAGTGAAGGGTCTGGAGGAGAAAAAAGGTATCAAGTTTGGCTTGAAATTATCTGTGGATTTTGCACTTTCTAATGAGGGATTTAAGATGGACATTCCGATCGGGATTTCCAGTCCCGTGGGGGAACAAACGCCAGCCCACATTCCTGAGTCGCGGCGCCTCTGTGCTCCGCTCTCCCTGCTCCTCTCCTCGGTGGCACGTTTTGCTCAGTACCGCTGGTCTCGCCTCGGCCCTTTGTTAGGCAGAAGAAAAGACCCCTGGCCCCCTCTCCTATCTGCGTTACATGGTCTCCCTCTCTCTTTCTCTGTCCCATCCCCTTTCTTTCTTCGGAGTTTCGGAGTGTCTTTTTTTTTTTTTTTGACGGTGCTAGTGTGGTTGTTTCTAAGGTATCCTGGCCTCTCCCCCTGTCCGGGCCTCACTGCCAGGGGTCAGTGTCCTCTCCTGTGACAAAAGCCGCCCTAGATCTGGGTTCCCTGGGGAGGGAGGTGGCTGGGACGGGCAGTTGGAGCCGCTGTCTCTCCTTGGTGCCGGGGCAGCCCCTCCCCCGCTGGGCACACAAATGGGCTTTATTCAGCAAACATAACCGCTTCCCCCCCCCCCCAGGCCACGCAGGCACGTGGACCCAGGCCTCACCGTGGGAAGGGGGTAGTGACAAGCGCCGGGGAAAGAGCGCTCTCTGAACAAGTTCTCCTCCACATACTTCAGTCCCTTACTTTCCACAACCCAGATTTTAGGCCTTGCCTTTTCACTTCCTACCCACATCCTCAGCCCCCAACTCCCACTTATTATCAATCTCCTGACCTTGAACGCTTTCCACTTCAGGGCACCTCAGATTCTACATGGGATTGGGAACTTGTCTCCACCATCTGTCCCACACCACCTAGGAAGCTGCTCCTCAGAAAAGCCAGATAGGGGAGAAAGAACCTCGTGCTCCTTTGAGGGGGTTGGATGGGACTACCACAATCCCTCTCCCCACTCTCCCCCAGGGCAGGGGACACCCCTCTGAGCAATGTCTGTGTGAACAACAGAGGAAGGAAAAGCTCCCCACAAGCCTGGCTCCAGAGTCCAAGCCAGGGCTCCAGTGAAATCAGCAGCTCTCCTCACTCCAAGCAGGGCCACCCTCATGTCTAATGGGCTATTTAAGGAGCTGTTCTCCTGCAGTCCTTCAGCCCCCCCCCCCCATATACACCCATCCAGAGCCACCTTAAAAGCGGGAGGCAATTGTGAATTCACTGGCCAGCTAGTGGTGTGGGGACTGCAGATAAGAGAGATAAAGAGAGGGCAGAGAGAAAGGCAGCAAGAGATTTTTCCTGGGGACCCAGAAACACCCACAGTACCCAATGAAAACTAAATCGCCTGGGAAACTTGTAGAGACACACAGACATCGCCAGACAGAAAGAGATAAATTCATTCAACACCGGGAACTCCTTTCTCACTTGCTTGAGCTTGCTGGCTTCCTCTCTCTCACACACACAGTCTGTCTCTCTCTCTCTCTCTCTCTCTCTGTCTCTCTCTCTCTCCCTCTCCCTCTCTCTCTCTCTCTCTCTCTCTGCTCTAGTCCTGCAGTCCCCAAACTCTCAGTCCCCTGTGCTCCTTCCCGGGATAACATGCTGTTCTTCACCTTCCTGCTCTCTCTCTCTCTCTCTCTGCTCTAGTCCTGCAGTCCCCAAACTCTCAGTCCCCTGTGCTCCTTCCCGGGATAACATGCTGTTCTTCACCTTCCTGCTTAAGGTGGTTTGGATCCTGGCTGCGGACGGGGGTAGGTTCATCTCGATATCTGTGTGTCAATCTGTGCTGATGTCCACAAGTCGCCTTGTGTGTTTAATGGGGGGAGGAGGTATAAAAGGAAGCCTAGGAACTGGAGGTTCAAACCCACCAGCCACTCCTCAGAAAGAAGGTTGGGCAATCTACTTCCATGATACCAACTCAGAAACCAAAGAGGGGTCGCTATGAGTCGGATCTGACTCGATGGCAGTGACTTTGGTTTTTTGGAGGGTCTGGAATAATCTCAGCTCAAGGTTGGGAAGAAAAGAGAGGAGTGGGCAACCACCACCGACCTTCTTTTCTTTGCCTTTGCAGCCTTGCTGTTACTGGGGATGAGAGAGAACTAGTGGGGACCAGCTTATATATGCACACAAGTGTAGGAATTTTTGCTGGCTACAGATTTTCTGTATTTCTTTTTCCTACAATCCCAGTCCGAAGCAGCCGTTCTTTATTTCTGAACTCCTCCAATTAGGGATCCAAGAAGGCCTGCAGTAAAAGGATGGAAGTTGATTGGGGAGATGGGGTATTGACTCTTATTCTAGCCATACCCTACATACCCTACCCAATTTAGACCTCCTATCTCCTACTGATAATCTCATGCCAAAGGTTCCTTCTTGAGTCTATGGAGAAACTGATTTCCCAGGTGTTTTTTTTTTTTTTTTTTTTTTAATCTTCCCTGAAGCCAGTGGCAATAGTGGCCAAGATTTATCCACCCTTTTACAACGAGCTTTTTGCAAGCCCCCAGGGACAAGAAAGGGACTTTTGAACAGTCAAAAGTGTCCCCAGGGACTTCACCTCATTTTTGTGTTCCCTGTGCCTAGTGCAGTATCCAGCACATAATAATTAAGGTTTATTGAAGAATTCGGTTGTGGTGGGAAAGTCTAGAAAGGAGAAGGGGAGTGCAGAGAGAATGATATGGGAGTGGGGAAAGCGGAATGAAGAGTCGCTAATTGCATCTGAGGGAAAAGAGAAATAAATGGAAAAGAGAAGGAAGGGATGTAGAATCAGTGTGTTGAGGATTTGGTGGGAGGGAAAGGGTGAGGCTGTCAGCCTTCTTAAAACCAGGCAATTTAAGTTTCCAGGGTGTCCCACAGAGCTGGTAAATAAGAGGCGGCCTCCAGCTCTCCCTTGGGCTGCTTTTCAGAGTTGTCTTAACTGAAGAATGGGCAGGCAGAAGGATGAGTTCTGGGACATTGAGAAGTCTACGGAATTTAAGAGAATAGGGGGAGAGGGGAAGGAATGTAAGATTTTCCTCCAGTTTGTAGCAATTTGAATAATGCAGAGAAACGCTACAGGAAGGTCTCCCTTTCCCCTTGGAGGCAGTTTGGGCTTGGGTAGGGGCTAGACCAGGAGACCCCCCAGGCCTTTCAGTCAGATATAGGACTACACAGGAGCCTGGCATGTGACCCAGCTGGCAGCTCTCTCTTCCACACACAATGCTTCACTTTCATCAGTCCCTGCCAGCCTGGCTGCCTGTGCCCACCCACCACCCTCAACCTAGAGTAAGAGCCTGCCCTGACTCCCAGCCCTCCCTAACCATCTGGGAAGCTAGGAAGCAGAGACTCCAGGTAATAGGGAGTTTCCTCTAGGGCTGCTGGGACCAGAAAGTTAGGACTGAAATGTTAATTTATAGCTCATTACCCTTTATTCAGGAGCTCTGGTAGCATAGTGGCTAAAGCACTTGACTGCTAACCAGAAGGCTGGCGGTTCAAACCCACCAGCCACTCCTCAGAAGGAAGGTTGGGCAATCCTACTTCCGTAGTGATACTGCCTCGGAAACCCAAGGAGGGGTCGCTATGAGTCGGGGCCGACTCTACGGTACATAACAACAACAACAACAACAACGCTTTATTCACACAATGCTTCAAAATAAAAGAGCAGTCCATCCTCCTCCTCTCTGTAGTATTCCCCACTCTGAACTTTTTCCTTTCCTATCTTTTTCCTCCAAATTTTCTGCTCCCACCCTTACCCCACCCCGCCCTAATCTTCTGAACTGTTAGATTGGCTTGGCACAGGTTGAAGAAAAGTAAGCATTGGGCTGACTGCACATTTGGATCCAGGTTAATTTTAGTCACTGGGCTTTATCTCTTTTCATTCCTCCTCTCGCTTCACTCAGCAGGCACAAGCACAGCCTGGCTGGTGATTTTAAATAGCCCACCCCCACCCCCCCACCCCGACCTTTCCGCTGAGGTGTCCAATTTCAGGCCTTCCCCTGGGAAGTGCTGGAGTGGAGGGAGGTGAAGGAGCAGAGAGGGAGGTGGAACCGCGTAGCTGCAAGCAATGCCTGAAGGAGGAGAGAGCTGAGGCTGGGGCTCTGCCCCAGGTTGTGCTGGCTGTAACCCAAATTACTCTGCCTTGCAGGTCAACACTGGACTTATGAGGGTGAGAACGGAACCCGAGGGTCCTTCCTCCTGCCCTTTTCACACCAGGACCTCCTCCCACTGCCACCAAGTCCATTCTGCCTCATAGCGATCCTATAGGACACAGTAGAACTACCCCATTGGGTTTCCAAGGCTGTATGTAATCTCTATGGAAGCAAACTGCCACATCTTTCTCCTGCGGTGTGGCTGGTGGGTTCTAACTACTGACCTTCTGGTTTGCAGCCAAGCACTTTAACTACTGTGCCACCAGAGTCCTGGGACCTCCCTACCTGGCAGGAAGATATGTCCTGCGGGAAGATTAGTTTTTTTTTAGCTTCTCACCCTGACTGCTCTTCCCCAACTCATCATGCCCTGAGCTTTGCATATATGGCTCCTAGATCCTGTTCTGACCCTCAAATCCCACACCTCCTGATTCAGCAGAAAAGCCAGTTAGGTCCTTAGTAAATCTATGTGGGAGTGAGAGAGCTGGAGTGGAAAGGAAACTGAGTGGGGAAAAGCACTGTGAGCTTGGCTGCCAATTCTCCTCCTGGCTGTCTCTCTGTCCTAATCAATCCCACCCCTCAACCTGCACTGTGAGTTGGGACAGAGCTTGAGGTCAGGGATAAAGAAGAGTATGGCAGGGTATTTTGGGACCTTTGGGGAGGTGTAGTTCAATTCCTTTGTCCTTTGTACCTTTGATCAATGAATGACTTAACCAAACTCCAGAGCCAATGTGAGGCCCAGTGTAACAGCAAGAAGTAAATAATGAAAAGTCAGGACATCTGCATCCCAAGGTCATTTGAAGGAGACCCTCTCTCTCTAGGTTCATTTTATTTCACCCAATTTCCTACTCCTACTCTCCAATCCTCTCAGGGTATGCAGACTTTTTATCCATCCCCTCCTCTCCTTATTCAGCTTTCTTGTCTTTAAACTACAGGTAAGTGAAAGAGCTACCACTCCCCTTATCAGGAGAGTTGGGGAATCATCATTGCCTCTGGGTAGCTGAGGGGAAATGAAGCCTAAAGTCCAGCAGGGACTCCTACCTCACTCAGCCTTATACAGTTGGGGGTCTTGACCTGGGGAAGAGGGACATTCTTCTACCTTCACAAGGATAAGTAACTTGGTTGGGGGTGGGGGTGGGGGCGCTGGAGAAGGGTGACTGGGGATGGAGAGAGGACAAATGTCCTTGGTGACCCCCACCAGGCCCACATGGTCAGGACCATTGGCCAGCCTCTTACCCTGAGTGTGGAGGCAATGCCCAGTCCCCCATCGACATCCAGACAGACAGTGTGACATTTGACCCTGAGTTGCCTGCTCTGCAGCCTCATGGATATGACCAGCCTGGCACTGACCCTCTGGACCTGCACAATAATGGCCACACAGGTAAAAGCTCCAAGGTTATGAGTTCCAATCTCATGAGAAAAGAAAGTATGTTCCTAACTTTTGAGTCCTCAGGTTTCATCCATGTATTTGGGGATATGGAAATGGAGATCAGGCTCCTATAGCCAAAGTGGAAATTCAAAATCTATGACTGAGCTTTATGGGTTGGTTAGTATTGTAGCACTGATTTGATCCCCATTGGGAAATGGGGTGGAGTACTAGCATTGGTGTATCAGAAGAATAGGGTGCTACCGAAGGAGGGAGACAGCAAAAGCTGGGCACATGTCCCCAGAAGTGATGGCAATCCAAGCATGGGAATGTATCCACATTCCCCCACCAACCCCAGGTTGCTCTTTTTCTCACAGTGCAACTCTCACTGCCCCCTACCCTGTACCTGGAAGGACTTCCCCGAAGATATGTAGCTGCCCAACTCCACTTGCACTGGGGTCAGAAAGGATTCCCAGGGGGATCAGAGCACCAGATCAACAGTGAAGCCACAGCTGCAGAGGTACCAGCGTGCAAAGGGCTTGGACTGGGACACTGTGACAGGGCTGGTTAGTGCTGAGGAAAAGAAGGATCTGGACACTGAGATAAGTACTACTGGGGAGATAAGGCCAACCTTTGAAAGACAGATTTACAGCCTGCTTGTGGTGGGTGTAAGGAGCTCTGGTGGCATAGTGCCTAAGGCATTTGACTGCTAACCAAAAGGTTGGCGGTTCAAACCCACCAGCCACTCCTCAGAAGATGATGGCAGTGGGTTTGGCTTAGGATGGGTGTGGTTAGGATCAAGGACTGGGAAAGTGAAGAAACATGAAATGACTCAGCTCCGTCTGCCCTCAGCTCCACATCGTACATTATGACTCTGATTCCTATGACAGCTTGAGTGAGGCTGCTCAGAGTCCCCATGGCCTGGCTGTCCTGGGCATCTTAATTGAGGTCAGTGGCCCTGAATCCTTCCCTAGGTTTCTTTCCACTCCTTCTCTATGCTTCAGTCCTATTCTGCCATGTGTGTTCCTTTACTGTGTACAGAAGTCTTATTTCAAACATAGACTCTTACTCCAAACTCCCTTTCCTCCCCTCCTAGGTGGGAGAGACCAAGAATCCAGCTTATGAACATATTCTGAGTCACTTGCATGAAATCAGGCACAAAGGTGAGCCTAAAAATCTATAGGAAGAAGTGAGATTAGACTTTAAGGAAACTTCCAAAAACTCGCCTAAGAGGCTCAGGATGAGGCAAATTAGGGGCCAGAGGGGTTTGCTTCTGGGAGCCCAATCTAGGTAAGCTAGGGCACAGTGAGAGGAAGATGAGTCCTGGTCTGTTCTCCCCAGATCAGAAGACCTCAGTGCCTCCCTTCAACGTGAGAGAGCTGCTCCCCCCACAGCTGGGGCAGTTCTTCCGTTACAATGGCTCGCTAACCACGCCCCCTTGCTACCAGAGTGTGCTCTGGACAGTCTTCAATCCAAGGGCCCAGATTTCCATGGGCCAGGTGAGTGGTGGAGAGGTGAGGCAGCAGAGAGACCTAGTTGTAACCTCAAACCCTTTCCCACTCCCCAAAGCGACATTTCTCCCCTAATCCCACTCTTCTGTTCCTCAGCTGGAAAAGCTTCAGGAGACACTGTTCTCCACTGAAGAGGAGCCTTCCCAGCTCCTGGTACAGAACTTCCGAGCTCCCCAGCCTCTCAACCAGCGAATGGTCTTTGCTTCTTTCACTCAAGGTGACTGTGTAGGGCTCAGAAAAGGAGATGTGAGATTGAGGCACTCAAAGGGCAGCAACTGGGGAGTCCCTGGGAAGGAAAAAAGGCTAAGAGAGAAAGGTGTCTCCAGGACTTGCTTGGACTGGGTACTCCCCACCACCTGGTATCCAGGTGGTTTTCCCAGGACAGAAGCAGAGTGTGCCGCTCCCACCTGGGATGGGGATCTGAACTCCCACTGATCTAAGTTTTCTTCCCTTACAGCAGGATCCATATATACAACAGGTAAGGCACTCCTACCCAGCTGTCGGGGTCAGCATTTTCAGCAAGTATGAAAAAGACTACTACATTAGTGTTACACTAACACCTTGCACTTTACCACCCCAGGTGAAATGCTGGGTCTAGGTGTGGGAATCTTGGTTGGCTGTCTCTGCCTTCTGCTGGCTGTTTATTTCATCGCTAGAAAGATTCGGTGAGGTCCTACTTTCCATTCACCCAGTCCTCTCTTTTCTATTGAAAAGAATTCTCCTATCACACCAGCAACATGCATTACCTAGGATAGTAACCATTTCCATAAACCATTCCCCCCTTTCAGGAAGAAGAGGCTGAGAAGCCGGAAAAGTGTCGTCTTCACTTCAGCACGAACCACCACTGAGGCATAGACCCTCTCAGACATCCTGGATGCCTTCTCTTCATGCCGATCAGGAAGCCTCCAATATGGGGAGCAGGAATTGGCCACAAATACTGTAGTAGTAGGCAGATGCCCCTCCTTCCTCTGGACATCCCCTACAGAGAGGCATGGACCCAGGCTCTTATTCAAGGAAGAACAGCAGAGCCTTTACTGTCTCAAAACATGTAAGAGATGAGATCCCTGTGTTGTCAATGCAGAGGGCAAACTTGGTGTTTATGGCAGTGGAATCCCAAAGTCCCCGTGCTCCCTCACCTTTCCTTCTGTCCCTTTCCTTACATATACTGCAAGCTCTCCACTTAGGACAGGGGGTTGCTGTTGTTAGGGTTCTATTTTTTGCTCAGTATATTTGGAAATTAAAGTTTGTGATCCCACCTGTGGTGTGAGTGTTCCTTAATCTCTCAGATGGTAGAGGTGTACAAAGGACAGTGAAAAGGAAGCATGGGTGATTTAAGTTCTTTCATCCCAATCCTGAAAGGAGATATCCATTTCTGGAAAAATAACCCCAAGTGTCTGACATGTTAAATTCCAGGGCAGATTTCAGCTCTGGAACTGAAGCTATGCCTGGAGCTCAGGGGTTGCCATGTTAGGAAGGAGGCTGGACAAGAAACCTGAGGGCAGAAATCTCCACTAACATGTTATCCCTTCTCTTAGAAGCCAAGTTCCCCCACAATTATAAAGTCCCTTTTATTAGTCAAAATCACAATCACCTTGATTAAAAGGATGGTACACGCCACCCTTAGCAGAAAATGATACAGTTTATAGAAAACCTCCCCACCCCACCCCCCACACCCCAATTAAAAACTAGAAAAAAAATCCGCCCTCCTTCCCTGCGGTGTCATGGTAGTGACTCCTCCAGTGGCACTGCAGCTCTGGAGTGGGCCAGCTCCCGGCAGCACCCTCCACTTCACCTTGGGGAGAGGAGGGGTGCTGGTGGTTGAGGAGGTTAAAACCATTAGTTCCAGTAATACCAGTTCTCAACCCCAAACATGCACTCCCTTCCTATCCCTCAGGGCCTGGGAAAAGGGGACAGATAAAAGCCCAGCCACAGAGGAGTATATGAGGAGGGATAATATAGCCCAAGGTGGTTAGGAGAAGAGTCCCAACATATGTCCCTCCTCCCCCCACCCAAAAAGAAAAAAGGCAGTTTGGGGGTCTTTATCACACCAAAAATGGTTCCCCTCAGACCTGAGAAAAAGACCAAGGTGTCCAGTCTGGGGAGAGGATACTGGGAAACTCAGAGCCCGTCTACCCTTGAGCCTCCATCAAGTTCATCTCCGGGGCAATGGTTAAGCTAGATTCCTTTTCTTGGCAACCTGCACTGTCCAGAACTGGAGATGGAGAAATACAGGGCGAGGAGATCAGGAGGGCACCCCAGGCCCAGGGGGTCCCCCCCAGGTTCCCTCAGTCCTCGGGTGGGATGCGCAGGGCAGAATACACCATCACCCGACTGTCCTCCTGCCGTCGGCCTGCAGAGGGGAAGGGGGGTGAGTCTTGGGCAGGGTGAGAGCAGAGCACTGACACATGGGGAGTCCTGGACAACAAGGGGGTCCCCAGGTGGTAGGGAAAGTGCAGATTCAAACCCACCAGCCACTGACTGGCTAAACCCAGGCCGTTCCCGGCAAAAACCTAGAGACTAAAGGTCATGAGTGGACAAAACCAAACCATGAAGGTGGTGGGACAGACCGACGAAGAGACAGAGAATGGTGGGCAATGGACCCAGGCTGGGGCAGGGCTCAGTCATGGGCAGTGGACAGGCAGGTGGGTGATCTGGCAGGCGATCAGTCCAGGTAGTCAGTCCTTACACGAGAGGCTGCGCTGGATACTTCGGAGGGACCCTCCAGCTGTGATGAAGGCCCAGAGTCCCATGGAAACAGTGACTGCATAGATGGGCAGAAGGCTGGCCTCATACCAGGGATTCAAGAATGTCTAGGAATGGGTGTAAGAGTGGAAAACAGATTATATTTCTCCCTTCCTCCCCATACCTAATCCCCATGCTCTTTATGCCTCTGACCCAAACCTACTCAGATACTTCCTCAAATCCCCCAGTCCTTCCCTTTAGTGCACCAGAATCTTGTAGTCAAGAATACTCTTTACTTTCAGCTTCCTCAGAGTTTCTGCCACTACTGCTCACATCATGCTATCTATATTGGTTGGGCCAATCTATTCAAACACCTCCCCAACAGAATCCCCAGAACAGGTTATACAATTGCTTCTGAGGTGAAAGACCCCTGAAGACTCACCTTCCTGCCTCCTCCCAAAGTCAGTTTTAAAATGTTAAGAAAAGAAGGTATACTTCCCCCATCTCACTCACCATTAAATGCCCTCTTCCTAACTCAGGCCCTTCTCCCCAACTCACCAATCCTGATGTCAGTAGGTGACTCCCAACCACCAGGCCCAAAGCCCAGTACCGTCTTCTTTCACAGGCATCAAAGAACACAACTCCCCAAAAGATATGGAGCAGGATAATGGCCGCTGTCAGAAAGGCTGCAGGGAAGGAGATGATGAGATACACTCTGATTTTCTCCCAGCCCCCTGAGATGTTAGGCCTAAGAAGGCTCCCAGGAAAGGCAATAAGTCAGATCAGGGCCAGGGAGGGATGGTGTATGAAACCAAGATAGGAAGTGGGTCTTACCTGAAGTCAGGAAGTAATAAGGTGAGTCTCCATGGATCCCAACCACACCTGGCCCAAGTGCATCAGCCAAAATATTGATAACAGAGAAGACACCACTGATGATACCGAAGGAGAGACCAGATACTGGGGGGAGGGAGGTGCTCATCAATGTCAGATGAATTATAGCCTGATTACCAGTGACCCCTCCCCATCCCCAGTCGTAATTTTCCCACGCCTACTCTCCCTCCAGCCATCTCTCCTGGGAGGTCAGGTACAAAGGAAAACAAGAGGCCACTAAGTATATGTGGGTGTTTAGAGACTTCCCAGGGGGAGGGGGTGTCCAACTCCCTCCTCCAGTCCCTCTCCCTTGGCTCACCATAGGCCATCTGGCGGATGGAGATGGGTGATCTTCCGTCCTCACTCAGCGATGCTAACCCCTCATCTGCCTTCCTGGGGTGGGGTGGGGTGGGGGAAACATGAGGGAGGGCAGGGGTGCTCCTTTCCCTCTAACGTCTGTCCCTTAGTGCCTCCTTCTCCAAACCACCATCAGGGGCTGTCCCCTTCCCACAGTGCAATCCTCTGCCCCTCTCCCTTCCAGACCATCCTGTTCTCTTACTTAAGCAGCTTGTAGTAAGCAAAACGGAACACCTCCTGCAGAAGGACAGAGACTGCAGCACCAAAAATCAGGAGGCCATACTGGAGCCGGGCATCTGACCGGTCAGTCACATGGACCAAGATGAACCAGACCACAGAGGCCAAGAGCAGAGAAACCAGCCAGAAAAACGCCCTGAGGAAAGACAAGGGCAATCAGACTGGCAAGGGTAATGGCAGTCGGGGAAATCAAGGAAGGGAATCAGCCAAGGCTGAACCGTGAAAAGTGGAAGTTAGACTTCCGGATGGTGAGGGAGAACGGAACCAGATCGGAAGGGACTTATCAGCAGGGATCTAGACACAATGGAGGGGTAGAAATTTGATTGAAGATTCTTCAGGGAGATGAGGGCCAGAGTGTGCGAGCACAAAAGGTCGGGGTATCCATTTCTGGATCCTCCCTTAGGGCACCTGACTCGGTCAGCCGAGGTCAGTACAGACCCCTCACGAGTCCTGGCCTTGGGCCTCGGAGGCATCTGTGCCATCAGTGGAAGGCGGAAGCCAGCTACGAGAAAGGGCAAATCTTCCACATCTCCGACCTCACCCTTTCCAACTTTTACCTCCGACTTGTCTCTACCAACCAAACTCCCAGGCTTGTCCTAGTTCCTCTAGCCCTTCCGGATCTCTCTTCGGTGCCCTCCCACGTCTCCCCGAATCCCACTCACCCTGCTACTAGAATGATGACGCGAAGCGGGTCCCCAGCCACTGTGATCAAGAAAAGCGCAAAGGCCGGGCCGAACGCTACAAAAGTGCATCCGAAAAACACCGCGGCCCCCATGGCTGGGCAGCTAGGGGCGGGGTGGAGGCCTGGTCCTGGGAGCCGAATGGAAAGAGTGTGACAGCTAGGAGTCCGTGTAGGGTGGCAACGCGACCCCGCGAGGGGCGCGGTGCAATGTCACCCCCAGACCCCGGGAAAGGGGGAGGGGGACACCGAAACCCCAGATGAAGGTCCGCGCGACTTCCTCTACGGAAGCCGAGTTGAAGACAAATCCCGGGCCGCAGCCCCATGGCCACCTCCCATCTAATCCACTCGAAGGCCAATGGAGAATCGAAGGGGGCGGGGCTGTGGAGGAAGGGCGGAGGCCGCACGGCTTGCTGGGAGTTGTAGTGTCCGTGCCTCTCTGAGTCCCAGTCCTCGGTCCTGGGAGTGGTCCCAGCCGGGAAAAGGGGTTGGGCCACGACTTGGGCCCGGCCGGCGACGGATTCCGGCGTTTGACTCCGCTTTGGCCGCGGTTTCCTTTAGTTACTTTGTGGGAAAGGGTGGTAGCAATCGTACCTCTTCTTGGAGGGCTGCAGAGGGGGGTAAATCCTGTTTGAACCTAAGGGACAAATACAAAGCCAGTACAGGATAGAGAGTGCGGGGAGATAGGGACGAGTATTGTTCTTACTTGAATGAGAGGAAATGGGCTACAGCTGCAGCCGAAGGGATGAAGGTTAGACTTGAAAGTAGGAACTCTTTGGAAGGGCTAGTGTAGGAAACAAGGGATACAGTCAGTATGTCACCAAAGAAGCCTTCATCAGATAGAAGCAAGAGGAGCCTGGAGAGCAGTCTTAGGAAGGAGTTTTAGTGGATTCGGTAGATAAGACGTTATTAGAGTGATGAAGTTAAAGGAAAACGACACCCCCCCCCAGCCATTCAATTACTAGGAAATTCTAGAATTCAATGAATAGATAAATTGTGTAGATTTACGCAGAAAACCACTAACAAATCCTCCTCCAATAGGGTTGAGAGAGTGAGAGTGTCCCAACCAGTGCTCATACTCTAGCCTGTCCTACTTCTGAGCCTATCAGGCTGAGTTTGTCAAAGAGATAGGGATGAGATAACTCATCTCTCCTTTGAGCTGTTACCACAGAATCTTCTGACCAATGAGAGCAGTCCAAACCTATCTTTTTTTGTGGCTGGTTCCACCGAGACTTGCGTAATGTCTAGCTTATAGCCATGCTGAGTAGATAGTTGCTTGTTAATTCCCCCTTTAAAAAAACAAGAAGTATTCTTTTATTGTTCCCTTGCTTGTGAATCCTGAATAGCCTATCAAACGCCTAACACATGTTAATAAATGTTTCTAAATTGCATGAAAATTGGAAACATAAAAACAGAGGGACAGATAAGATGAATTCTATACCTGCAGCCTGGAATGATTGCAAGTGGGAGGCGCAGCATCTGCAGCAGCAAAAGAGACTATGTGCTTCCTCCCTTCTTCCATCCTGAGTCTAAGAAGTTGAGAAAGAAGTGAGATGAGGTCGGTATTTATGAGAGAGGAAATAAGTGGCCCTGGCCAAGACTTTTATCAGAAGCTCTAGAGCAGGTGGTTCCATTCTCCATAGCCCAAGATAGAAAAAGTAGAAGGACTATTTTCAGTCTAGAAAAACAATAACCCCTTCCTCAGAACATTTCAACTGTTATGAAAGAGACTGATTAAGCCTCAGAGAGAAGGGCGATTCTGGATGGTGACAGTAAGTTAGGGACAGGAAGAGGGAGAGGGAATTTTTGTGAGGATTGGGAGGGAGGGAGGAAAGTAGAGGAGAGAGGAAACCCCTTGGTAGGCTGTTGTTTGCAGTGTCTGTAGGAGTCATGGGTAGATCTTATCTAGGGCTGGGGGAGCTCAATGAACATCAAACCCCACATTTTTGGCAGCTCTGGCCAAGGACCGGTAGTGACTGATGATCTAGACAGTCTGTAAGTGGGCGGAGAAATCTGTCCTCTAAGAGAAAAGTCGCTGTAGCTCCCTCCCTGCTTTGGGTGGGAAACGCTGTAATTTCCTTTTTTAACTTTCACAGCGATAGGGCAGAATCCAGAATGGATGTTCTCTTCGCAGCCATCCTTGCTGTGCCACTTATCCTGGGTAAGTTCACTCTTCCCTGAGCTTTTGGGTCAGGTCTTCTACCATAAATGGGGTAAGGGAAAAGAAAAGGAGCAGAGGGTGAGAGATGCAATCCGATGAGAGTAGTAAGAGCACTTTTCTCTTCTGTGCTGGAGTCCTGTGTTCAGTGGGGAGGAGAAGGAAAGAGAGGGGATATCTGAAAGGTAGAGCCACGTAGAAGGGAGAAAAGCTGAATCTTGTCAAAAAAAAGAGAAGGCTTTTTAGAGATGGAACCCCAGACGCAGAAAAAGATCCTAGCAAGATTAAACTCAGTGCTCCATCACCACAGAGTTGAATAAGATAAGAGGGACTAAAGTGAAAATGAAGAAGAGAGGTGGACTCTTTAAGGGTAGGCAGCCTGAAACTAGTGAAGGAAGCCAGGGCATCTTTTTTTTTTTTTTTTCCCCCAGATAGTTGGAAAAGGAGCTCTGGTAGCGTAGTGCCTAAGGCACTTGATTGCTAACCAGAAGGCTGGCGGTTCAAACCCACCAGCAACTCCTCGGAAGGAAGATGGGGCAATCTACTTCCGTAGTGATACTGCCTCGGAAACCCAAGGAGGGGTCGTTAAGAGTCGGGTCTGACTCGATGGCATACAACAACAACAACAGTTGGAGAAAAACCTTGTATTAGTAATGACAGAGAAATGGGGGTAACCTTTAAGGCAGTGGAGAACTGACTGCCTTCAGGGACAGGGTCCCAAGAGTAGCTGGCTCCTTCCCTTCTTTGTTCCCCTGTCTGCCAGGTGCGTCTCACTGTTTCCTTTTCCTTCGTATTCTTATGTCATTAGCTTGGAGTTGGAGCAAGGACATTTAAGGATCTTAAGGAAGTGTTTAGCAGGAGGCCTAGAGTTCTCGATTCAATCATATCAAAGCTACGTATTTTCAGTTCTCAGTTCTCGAAAGGAAGAAAAACTAACAGAGATGCATCATCTAGCACAGTTGACTCACGTGAAGAAAGCGAATGTTAAATAGCTTGTTCCAAGTTGCTCTGCTAGTTGGCAATGAAGCTGGAGCTAAATCCAAATCTCCAAAGCCTATGATGTGTGTACATGTCTGTGTGCATTATTCATGAGGCTCTGATAAAATAAGATTTCTTACAAATACAGTAAGGTCTGGAGCATATTGGATAGAAGATTTGGAGATTGTAGTTTCGGGTTTGTCTCTGCTTCTTACTCCCTTTTTTAGCCTTAGTTCTATCTTTGGATTTACAGTATGGCAAGGGACTCATTTTTTGTTTATGGGAGCTTTGGATCCAAAGGACACACAGTAACAGGTCTCATAATAGATATGGAGCCCGGAAGACTGAGCAGGGGTTAGAGGTGCAGAGGCAGGGAGAAAGCATAACCCTCGGAGGGAAAAGGGAACTGATAGTGCTGGAATTGACTCCAGATGTTCTCCCGTCCTTAAGATCTGGAGGCCCTTTGACCAGTAGTTCTTGTCCCCATAGGACAAGAGTATTTGGATGAAGAAGTACTGGGAGAGGACGATTATTATCAAGTGATCTATTATTACACTGTCACCCCCAATTATGGTGAGTACATGTAAGGGTCTGACCCTTAGCTGGGTGAAGAAAGGCTTTAGGAATACCTGGTCCTGAGACTTGGCCTTTCACTTTTCAATGAAGCAACTAGGCCAGAGAGAAATCTGGGCATGAGAAGAGTACTAGCACTTACAGTGTTACTTTCCAAGCTAGTGATTTTCAACTCTTTGGAAACTGATTAAATCATTTGAAAAATTTCAAATGTATTAATTATTTTAGATACAAGATAAAAAGTGTAAATGTATACGTACTCACAAACATTCTTGACATTAAAGTTAATTGGATTTGCATTATGCTAATACATTTTACGGGAGCTCTGGTAGCATAGTGCCTAAGGCACTTGACTGCTAACCAGAAGGCTGGGGGTCCAAACCCACCAGCCACTCCTCGGAAGGAAGGTCGGACAATCCTACTTCCGTAGTGATACTGCCTCGGAAACCCAAAGAGGGGTTGCTATGAGTCAGGGCTGACTCTACGGCAAACAACAACAACAATACATTTTACAACTTGAAGAAGTTTAAATTCCCTGAGCAATTTCTTCCTTGTCTCGTTTTTGGATCCAGACTTACCTTTTTTTCTTTTTTTTCTCCTCTGTTACTGCTGATTTTTTCTTCTCCTCAGATGACCTTGGTGTAAATTTCACCATTGATTACTCCATGTTTGAATCAGAAGATAGACTGGTGAGTGACTCCTACATCTGAGAGTCTGTGTGCAGAGGGTCAAGCTAGGAAACAGTTGTCCAAAGAAAAATTTGATCAATAAGTCAATTGGAATTAATAGAGTTTATTGAGATGAGAGGGTGTTTTCAAGCAGGGAGCATCCAAAGAGAAAGCTGCAAATTGCTCCTTTAAGTAGTGCATACAGAGTTTTTAAAGACAGGGGATTTCTACAGAGTTTTTAAAGACAGGGGATTTCTAGTATGAAAAAAAAAATTTTTTTTTTGATTGACAGTAACTTGTTTATCCATTTCTCAATCTTATACATAGAATTTACTGGCTGGTTTCTTAGTACCTAGTGCTGCTGTCACACAAATACCAGATACAGATGGGTGGATTTAAAGAACAAAATTATATTTTTTCACAGTTCAGGAGGCTAAAATTAGGGTCTTGGCCTGCCCAAGCCCTGGGTGTTTCTTGGTGACTTTGTGTTCCTTGATACACAGATAATCCTCACTTAGCTCTTTATTCCCTTATGTGTCTCTGTTTCTATTCTGGTCTTTTGATTGGATTTTAGATATATTTTTAATTAAGGTGAGGGTCTTACAAAGCACAGGTATTTCTGTCATTGGTTTTATAGTTATACTTGGCTGATAAGAATTAGTGGAATTTGATAAGTAATACTTTTTATACACAATACTGCATTATATAATAATACAGTAATAACAAACATTATAATTAATATAATCAATTATAATTAATTCCGTAGGTAGACAGGCTAAATGATCAGGTATGGATAGACAAAAGAGAATATACCCGTGGCCATATATAAGTATGGCAGATGATACTACATATGTATTTGTATATGCTATGAGAACGTCCATATATATAATAGAGCTAACAGGTGGCAAGGTTATGATAACTTCTTAGCCACAGCCAAACACCTTGAGGGAGTAAGTCACTGGGCCCATGGGCTTGGGACCATGGTTATGGGAGGGATCAAGCTCAATTGGCATAACAAACTACACAAAAGTATTGTTTTACGTCCTACTTTGGTGAGTAATGACTGGGGTCTTAAAAGATTGTGAGCAGCCATCTAAAATGCAACAATTGGTCTTTCCTATCCGGAGCAAAGAAGAGTGAAGAAAATCAAAGACAGATGGACCATTAGTCCAAGGGACTAATGGACCATGAGAACCTCAGCCTACATGACCCTGAGACCAGAAGAACTACATGGTGCCTGGCTACAAGTGCCAACCACTCAGGGATCAAAAGTGGAGATCCTGAATAGAGTGGGAGAAAAATATGGACAAAACTCAAAACCATAAAAAAAAAAATCAGGCTTACTGGTCTGATAGAGATTGATGAAACCCCTATGCTATGGCCCCTAGTCACCTTTCAGGCCTAGAATTGAACTCACTTCTTTGGCTTCCAGCCAAACAATAGACAGGCATGTAAGGTGAACATTTATACCAGGTAGGTGCACTCATTAGAACAATCAACCACGGGAGGTCAGAAGGGCAGCATTTGCCAGGGAGACAACTCAGAGGGCAAGAATGCATAGGAAAGGACACTGGGAAAAGGTAATCACAGGAAAGAAGTGAGAAGAGAGAGAACTGTTACATTGTGGGATTGCAATCAATGTCATGAAACAAAATGTGTATGAACTGTTGAGTAGAAAACAAATTTGCTCTGTAAACTTTCACCCAAATCACAATAAAAAAAAAAAAATGGTGGAGTCAGATTTGATGAATCAGAAACATTTTTAATTTTCAAGTTCTTTTTAGAAAGCTCTTACAGTTAAAACACTTTGAAAATTCTCTATTGTTCTGTCAAGGTTTGTACTTGGTACAAGTGGCCATTTTGACTGATTTGTTTTAAGAAAGATTTCTGCACCTGGCAAAACAGCCATTAAGTTTTAGTTTATGTTTAACACCATTAAAAAAAAAAAAAAAAAAAGCAACAACCTGGGCAATGTTGAAATATATCTAATTAGCAAAACTAGAAGTAAGTTTGATTAAGTGAAACTAGGAAGTAGGCCCAAGACAGGTTTGGTAACCACCGCTTGAGGACAAAGAAACCAGAACTCAGTAGGTTTGCTAAGACATTGAGGGGATGATGCAGTACTAAGTCAAGGGACTTGGTAAATAAGAGTGATATGATCCATGCAAGGATAGGGTATAGAAACATTGACTCTTTGGCAGAAAGATGTAAAGGGAGGGAAACTTTGTATAGTCTATCAGGATGTTGGATCATGGAGATGATAACTTCGTGTTTCTCAATCCCACTGAGGGCAGGATAGGTTGGATAAGGAGGTAACGGAAGCAACAGAGACTACTGCCATTAATCTTGAGACAGAACGTGAAGACCATCGGAAGCCTGTAACAATAAAACCAGTGACAATGGAACCAGTGAGTGAATTGGAGATCAGTGGGAGGGAGACTGATGGAGACATCCTTTACCCTGTGTAAATCCCAAGGCTAGTCAGCTGGCGGAAAGGAAGGGCCAGAGAACCAGGCTTCAGAGGATGGAGGAACCAGATAACAAGTACTGCAATGCAGGTTTTCATCTCAACTTGCTCATCTTATTTTTCACTCAGATTGAATACTAACCTTGTATACAAAACACTAGGAAGATTTGATGCAGCTAAATTTCAGTTCATCAGTACTTAATGTGTATGTAACTTATGCCTAAGACTGTTGAGGGTGCTGGGGATTATAAAAAGTAAATTTATGATGTTATTACTGTCCTCAAGGAATTTATAAAACTGAAGTTTGCACATATGAAACCTTTAGAACAGAACAAAAAGGTATGTGACAGTGTTGAATTACGTAGACGTTTGACAGTATATGACATAGACAAGTGTTTTAGGCAGTAGAAGGAGAGAGACCAGTATAGGCTGCAGTTGTTTGGAAGGCTCTTGTGAGACAATTGTGCTTAAGATACACCTTGAAGAACAGGTGAGCTTTTTAACTGGTAGAAAGATATGAAAGAATTAAAGCGATGATGAGGAGGAAGATTATTCCAAGGCTGAGAGAGCCTAGTAGAAGACTAAGAGGCTAGAAGAATAGTATGTCTAATGGATTGGGTATAACTGAAAGAGAGAGTATATGGGTGGAAACGGTGGGGAAATTAAGAAAAAAATAAAATTTACAAGACTTTTAATATTTGCTTAGGAGTCCCTGGGTAGAACAATAGTTAGTTAAGTGTTAACTAGCCAAAGGGTGGGTAGTGCAAATTCACTCAGAGGCTACTGCAAGAAGGGTGTGAGGGCAGCATCTTCTTCTGACCTTCTCTAACTTCAAAAGGGGAAGGAGGATCCAGAACATCAACAGACCAATGCTGATTCCTTTGAGATGAAGATCAGACATGCCGCCATTCTGCCATTCTCCGATCATTTTACCAATTCTGACACCAACAGGCCCTCCCCCAGCACTCTCTACTTCTTTGCTGTGCTCTGTAATTTGTTACAATGGGCACACGGAACTCACAGGCAATACTCATGATCATGGGGTTTATTAGGGAAGCAACAGGTTACAATTCATGTTCAGGAATGATCAGGATACAATTCTTGGATCAGGGCAGCCTTCCCTTGGCTCTGCCCATAGGCACACCTCTCTTTGGCCTTCTCTCAGCCTGGCCTCTGCCTTGCTCTGGCAGCTGTTACAAAGCTCTTTTAGCTCTGCCCATAGGTACTCCTGACTCCACCAGCAAGCCTTCTGCCCATCAGGTACTCAGCTTTCTCGCTCAATGGGCCAACAAGCCTGCTGCTCTGTGTCATGCAGGTCTCTTGGTTCTGCTGCCTCTGTCTCTCTGCTGTCTCTCTGCTATCTCTTCAGTCCAGGGATCTTGGGCACAAAGGACATGCTCTACTCCTTGCTCTTCTGTCTTGATGGTAGTGAGATTTCCCATTGTGCTTCTGGGATGGCTCATTTTAAGCCTAGCAGGATGGTAAAACTGACCAATCCCCACATTGTTGTTGTTTGCCGTCGAGTCGGCCCCGACTCATAGCGACCCCTCCTTGGGTTTCCGAGGCAGTATCACTATGGAAGTAGGATTGCCCAACCTTCCTTCCGAGGAGTGGCTGGTGGGTTTGAACCGCCAGCTGTCTGGTTAGCAGGCAAGTGTCTTAGCCACTATGCTACCATAGCTCCCAATCCCCACATTAGGTTTCCATATATCTTATTTCCATGGTCCCATCCCAACAAGGATACCGTATACGTTATTTACAATATTAACAAGCTATCCAGTCCCCGTCATGGGCCATAAGCCCCTCATATTTTTATAGTCCCACCTAGTCATCTGGTGGGAGTCACAAAGACCGTGACTAGGAGAGACATATTAAGTAATTCGCTACACTGCAGCACCTCAGAAGATAGACCTGACAATCTACTTCTGGAAGGTCACAGACTTGAGAACCCTACGGAATAGGTCTACTCTGTACCAACAGGGTTTCCCAGAGTCAGAAACTACTTGATGGCAACTAACAACAACAAAAACAACAATACTTGCTTAGTGATTTCACTCAAAGCAAGATAGGGCCAGATCATAATGGGTCTAGAGTATCAGACTGAAGTTTGGACTTTACCTCATAAGAAATAGGAACTAAGTAAGTTCTTCAGTGCGAAAAAGAAACAGTAGAGTGGTATTTTAGAGACTGGCTGACTGATTGTATGCAGGAAGCAATGGAGTGGAGAGAGATCCATGAGATTTGCATTATTCCAGAAACAATCTATTAAGGGCATTGTGAATGGAGAGGACACAAATAAGAAATATTTTGAAGAAGATACCTTGCTTCAATGATAATTTCACATAATGAATAAATGAGGAGAGAGTTAAAATAACACAGTTTTTGAGCATGGATATTTGGGAAAATGGTTGACCAAAATGGTAACTGTGATAGGCCAGAGTGGTTTAGAAGGGAAGTTATGAAATTATTATTTGCCAAGCTGAATTTTTGGAGATAGCCCTGTGAGCATGTTCTAAAGGTAGCCAAACCAGGTGAGGGCTAGAGTTCAAAGTGCAAAGTCATGGTTATGAAAGTAGATCAGCTCAATAGAACCAATATACACAGAAGATCAGGAGGCCAATGACTGTGCCTATAGTTAATAGGAAGAAGAGGAATCAACCAAGGAAATAGAGGATTGATTAGAGAGGTGGACAGATAGCCAACTTTATATTATAGATTCTAGAAAAAGTTGAATATTAATATAATCAATAACAGTTATCAAGAGGCCAAGGATAAGGAGGTTATTGGTAACCCCAAAGAAAGCAGTTTTAATTGAGTGATTGGAGCAAAACATAGAATTTTCTGGAGTTAAAGAAAGAGCAGATTGTGAGGAAGTGGAGGCAAAGTAGATACCGATTGGAGAAATCTGGTGATGAAAGAAGAGGAACAATAATGGGAAAGGTCAGCAGGACCTTGAATGCAGATGGGAGGAACTAGTAGGCATGAAAGGCTGAAGATTGCCAACATGCATAGATAAATATTTTAAAGTATAGTCTTCCTTTAGATTGCAAACTCACTGAGGACAGGGACCATGTCTAAATCATATTTGATCTCCCCTGTAGCACCTAGCAAAGTCCCTGTGTGTTACAAATGGTTTGCTCTCAGCTACTAACCAAAAGGCTGGCCATTCAAACCCACGCAGCAGCACCATGGAAGAAAGGCCTAACAGTGTGCTTCCGTAAAGATTACAGCCAAGAAAACCTAATAGAGCTGTTCTACTCTGTAACATGTGGGGTTGCCATGAGTCGAATCAACTCCATGACAATAGATTTTTTTTTCGGGGGTGTCTGTGTGTGTGGTTGGTTTATTTAATAGTATCTAGCACAGTGAGTAGCATAGTGGCATGCACATAATAGACACACAATAGGTATCACTGGATTGAATTGAGACCAGTATGGTCAGGGTGCAAAGGACTTCTTTTAGTGATCGGGAGGAGAACTGAATCTGTCACTAAGCCTGGAGGAAAGGGAGACAGAGGTGGGTGTAAAGAGGGTGGCTGTCCTTTCTGGGGTGGGGGTGGGAGATAGGGAGGGCGTCACTGGGCTGCAGTGGGGGAATGTCTGTATTTTAGCAGAGTCCAGATCTGAACGATGCTGCGCCCAGTCTGCAGAGTCCTGGTCCCCTCATCCTGTCCTGGGCCCTCATTCAGGGGGGGATGTATTTCATGTAGAAGGTGAGAGTGCAGCCACTGTGAAGCGATTTTTACCAGTATTTCTGGCCAAGTGTTTCCAGCCTGGTCACTTATCAGCTACTTTTAAGAGGGATCATGTTTAGAAAATTTCTTATTGTCTAACCTTAAATAAGTGGTAAAATCACTGTTCGGGAGATGTTGAGGCAAAGAGTTTTACAGTGAGTCACTAATTTTCTGAGCTGGAAGGACTTCAGCACTTCCTAGATCAGAGGCAGGAAGAAAGAAGAAACCTCTCCAGGTTTCCGTTTACCTTGGAGGAATCGGAACTGTTTCTAGCCTGGCCCTGGTTTAAGGCATGGCATGTGCCAGAGGGCCAGAGGGCAAAATGGGCAGGGCTCTACAACTGAGCAGAGTCTAAAAGCAAAGTTAGGAGTCAGAACAGCTGGTGGTTCCCTGCTGCAGGGGAGAGATTGTGGGGAAAAGGAGGAGGGAGGGGAAAACTGTATTATAGGGAAGGAATTCAAGTTGGGATTCTGAGTCACTATGGGGTATGAAAGGAGCTCTGGTGGCATAGAAGGTCAGTGGTTCAAATCCACCAGCCGCTGCGAGAAAGGACGATGGGGCAATCTACTTCCATAAAGATTTACAGCCTCAGAAACCCAAGGTCGCTATGAGTCAGAATCCACTGGCAGTGAGTTTTTTTTTTGGTTTTATGGGGGGTATGAAGAGGAGTGAGGAGGGCAGGGGCCAGCACGTCTTCCTGGAGATACCAGCAGCAACCCAGAACTTGAAATCTAGACAATTTGCATAGGGGTGGGGTGGGGGATAGAAGGGCTTCTCGGACCCCCTGATCCTGTTTCTTTCTTTCTTTGCTTTTTAGGAAGAGAGAAAGCTGCTTTTTGGATGGGAAGTTGGAAGATCCAATAAAGAATAAATTAAACAATCTGGTTATTCCCCTTCTCCTTCATGAGGGTCTCTTCTAAAGCCACAACTAAAGAGAGCACTAGGATTTCAGAGTGGGAAGGGTAGATTAAAAAGGGAATTCCATCATCCTAACTCACTCATTGGGTCTGAAACCAGTATGTTGTCTGTGATTGCTCTTCTCTGTTCTTCCCAAATTTTCAGTTTTACTTACAGTTCATTAATTCTGGTGTTTATTACTTATAAGGTTCAGACATTTTGTTTGAGGAAAGAGGGATGAGGTTTATTTAGACCTTTTTTTTTTCTGTTATAAAATAAGTACATTGTTAAACCTCTGTACAATATTAAAAACTACTGAGAATAGATTTAAAATGTTCACATCCTTCTCACCTGCCCCTCAACAACACTTTCCAGTTAGCGATTAATGACAGAATTTTATTTTTAATTTTCTTATCTTTGAAACCCTAACCAGAACTGGAGTGCCCCCTTGCGGTCTCTTCGATGTGGTACCTTCCTCCAGGCAGTGCTGGGGCTCGGTTCCCCCTTTCCCCACCTTGCTTTTTCAGTACTGCCAAGGGAAGGGAATAGTAACTTACCAGTTAATTTGTCTCTAAACTACAGATTTGTTTTACTCCCACCTTCAAAATCATGTCGAATGAAGAAACCGAAGCTGGACAAAGCCATATCCCAGGAGATCGAAAACCTACCCGACTCTGTTCCCGATACTCAGAGAATTTAAGAGCTCAGGTTCCTAGGAGCCGGGGTAAAAAAGTCAGGAACAACCAAATTCGGTTTTGACCTCTAGAGTCGTGGCAGGCTGGCATCTGTGCTAGTAACGTGCGTAGCGGGTTATGTAAGGAAAGGGTTGGAGGAGCCGCCCCAGCGGACGCCCGGGAGAGGACGCGGTGTTCTCGGCATCAGTCCCCACCCTCCTCACCCAGCAGGGCAACAGGCACCCAACTTGGTGGAGAGGAAGGAGGAGGGGAGGCTAAAACAGACTGGGAGTCACGAGTGCTGGGCCACCCACAGAGGGAGACTATACACAGTGTCATACATCCATTCTCTCACACACGTTGCAGACACAAGTCGCTGGTGGGTTCCACGTGCTGCACTCATGAGTGGAGACGCACACAAAGAGGGCTGAGGGGTAGGCTCTGGAGGCAGCGCCGGCGTCCTGAGGTCCGGAGGCGCTCAGGTCAAGTCGCATATCCAGTCTCTGAGCATTCTGAGCGCTAGTCTCGGATCCGAGCTTTCACTGTCCTTTTTAAAGCCAAGGGCTCCGCCCTCTTCCTCCCCTCCCTTCTTTTCCACTCTTTTTCCTTCCCCCTCCTTTTTTTTTTTTAATCACCCGGTCCTCTCCAGGAGTCGCATGTAGGGGCGGAGCACGGAACGCAACCCATCCAGCCATTCATCACCTGGCCGCCTCCTTATTGGCCCAACCCCTGTGTGCTGTAGCAAATGGACTGTAGATGTCGGGACCGAGAGTCACGTGTTACCGGCTTGCCAACCAATGAGGGTGAGAGATCTGTGTACACAGGGGGAGGCACGTGCCGAGTTTCACGTGTCTGGGAGGGGGAAGGGGCGGGACCCACCCAGTGAAAGAGGCGGAGAAGGTGGGTAGACGAGACTGAGACTTGGAGAAGCTGGGAAGGAGCGGGAGGCTGAGCCTGGGCTCGGATGAGCGACGGAGGTGAGGGGACCTGGAGGGCGGGGAGCAAGCGGCACGAGAAGACTAGACACAGAAGTGGGTTTTGGGGACTGAAGGGCAGATCTTGTTACTGGGAGGGATCGCATCGTGCAGCAGGCGAGACCTGAGAGGGACCAGAGCATGCATCCTGATACTGAAAGACTGGGAAGGTGCAGGAGACTGCTCTCGGTGGGGCGGTTCACGCAGGGTTAAGAGGTGGGTTCGGGTTCCGAGACCCGTCTGGTTACTGCTTTGTGGTGCCAGGACCTCAGGTACGGAGGTTCGGTGAGGAAACAGGCAGGGCAACAGCGGAGGCGAGCAATGGGCAGGGGTTTCGGTTGGGGAGAAAGTGCCCAGTCAGGTATTTAATCTGAACTGAGGGAGATCAGAGAGGCAGTCTCAGTTTCTTAATGGTGATGGGGAATGAGAACAGAGATGATTTTTTGTATTGTCTCTGAAACGTATAATATTGGGGAGGAGAGAGTTATTAATTATATTCTATGCAGTACGTTCCGATCTCCTGGTCCATTTCTTAATCCTCACACGTTGGTTTCAAACTGCCTCGCTTTGCTCTTCAGTTACAGGTTCGATCTTCGGGTACTCCTGGAGCTGCTCTCCATCCCTGCTTTTGGATCTATGGATTCCCCATCTAGCGTTTCTTCTTGTTCCTCCTTCTCTCTCTCTTCTTCTTTTTCCACCTCACCAATGAACAGTGACTTTGGCTTCCCCTCTGATAGTGAAGGGGAGGACAAGGCGGCTCTGGAGCCCACGCCAGACACTGTTGGGCAGAGTGGAGCTTGTCGGCCCAGTCCCGGTCCTATCCGCTGCAGGCATCGACCCAAGGTTTACAATAACCAGCATACAGCATCTCACCTGAAACAGCGGGGCTTGGCTTCTTCTGTGGCAGGATCTGTGGTCAAAAGGTCAAGACATGGTGAATTGGAAAACATTCAGGGTTGTACCACAGAGGGAGACCTGCTCTTTGCTCAGAAGGTAAGAGAAAACACAGGAAAGGAAAAGGTACTGGTGTAGTTTACCACCCAGATGATTGTTAAGGACTCTATGAGGGTCCTTAGTATTGGCTCCCAGATTTGGAGGTGGAGGAAGAATTAGTACTGGTGTGTGCAATTGTTGGTCTTCTCATAGCCTTTGTACTGTTACCCTACAGTGTAAAGAGCTCCAAGGATTCATTCGCCCACTCACAGACCTACTGAATGGGCTGAAGATGGGTCGCTTTGAGAGAGGTAACTATCTGATTATTTCCACTCATTTGGATTAGGTCTTTAAAAAAAAAAATTTATAGTGATTTGGGTGAAAGTTTTCAGATCAAATTCACTTTCCACATGGTAGTTCATACACATTTTCTCTCATGACATTGACTGCAATTTCCCATAACGTAACAGCTTTTGTGTTTGTTTTTAAAAGTATCTCTCTTAAGTCTTTCTGCTTTTGTGACTCAATTTCTTTGTGGTGGTTGTTAGATGTTGTTGAGTTAGTTCCAACTCATGGCAACCCTATGTACAACAGAACCAAACACTCCCTGGTCTTGTGCTATCCTCACGATTGTGGCTATGTTTGAGCCCATTGTTGCAGCCACTGTGCTTGCTCTTTTTCACTGACCTTCTACTTTAACAAGCTTGATGTTCTTCTCTGGGGACTGGTCCCTCTTGATAATGTCCAAAGTACGTGAGATGAAGTCTCACCATCCTCCGTTCTAAGGAGCATTCTGACTGTACTTCTTCCAAAACAGATTTGTTCATTCTTTGGCAGTCCATGGTATATTTAATATTCTTAGCCAATAGCATAATTCAAATAATCAAGTCTTCAGTCTTCCTTATCCATTGTCCAGCTTTCATGTGCATATGAGGCAACTAAAAATGGTAATGGCTTGGGTTAGATGTCCCTTAGTTCTTAAGGTGATATCTTTGCTTTTTAACACTTTAAAGAGCTCTTTTGCAGCAGATTTCCCCAGTGCAATACGTCATTTGATTTCTTGAATGCTGTTCTCATGGGTCTTGATTGTGGATCCAAGTAAAATGAAATCCTTGACCACTTCAATCTTTTCTCCATTTACTATGATGTTGTTTTATTGGCCCAGTAGTGAGGATTTTTTTTTTCTTTATGTTGAGGTGTAATCTATACTGAAGGCTGTAGTCTTTGATCTTTATCAGTAAGTGCTTCAAGTCCTCTTTGCTTTTAGCAAGCAAAGTTGTGTCATCTACATATCACAGGTTGTTAATGAGTCTTCCTCCAATCCTGATGTTCTGTTCTTCTTCATATAGTCCAGTTTATGAGATTGCTTGCTCAGCATACAGACTGAATAAATATGGTGAAAGGACCCAACTCCAATGGATCCAACTCCAATGCACTTTTCTTGATTTTCAACCACACACTATACCCTTGTCCTGTTTAAATAACTGCTTCTTGGTCTACGTACAGGTTTCTCATGAGCACAATTAAGTGTTCTGGAATTCCCATTCTTTGCAGTGTTATCCATAATTTGTTATGATCCACAGTTGAATGCCTTTGCATAGTCAATAAAACATAGGTAAACATCTTTCTGGTTTTCTCTGCTGTCAGCCAAGATCCATCTGACATCAGCAGTGATATCCCTCATTCGATATCCTCTTCTGAATCTGGCTTGAATTTCTGGCAGTTCCCTGTCAGTGTACTACTGCAACTGTTTTTTTTAATTATCTTAAGCAAAATTTTACTTGCGTATGATATTAATGACATTGTTCAATAATTTTTGTCTTCTGTTGGATCACCTTTCTTTGAAATGGGCACAAATATGTATCTCCTCCAGTCAGTTGGCCAGGTAGCTATCTTCCAAATTTCTTGGCATAGATGAGTGAGCACTTTCAGTATTGCATCCATTTGTTGAAACATCTCAATTGGTATTCTATCATCCTGGAAGCTTGTTTTTCACCAATACCTTCAGTGCAGCTTGGACTTCTTTTTTCAGTTCCATTGGTTCTTGATCATATGCTGCTTCCTGAATGGTTGAACACCAACCAATTCTTTGTGCAGTGACTCTGTGTATTCATTCCATCTTATTTTGATGCTTCCTGTATCATTCAATATTTTCCCATAGAATGGTTCAATATTGCTATTTTAAGCTTGATTTTTTTTTTTTTTTCAGTTCTTTCAGCTTAAGAAATGCCAGACGTGTTCTTCCCTTTTGGTTTTCTAACTCCAGGTCTTTGCACATTTCATTATAATGCTTTATCTTCTCAAGCTGCCCCACTGAAATCTTCTGTTCAGCTCTTTTAGGTCATCACTTCTTCCATTCACTTTAGCTACTCTCCATTCAAGAGCAAGTTTCAATTTTTTCTGAAATCCATTTTGATCTTTTCTTTCTTTCCTGTCTTTTTAATGACATTTTGCCTTTTTCGTGTATAATGTCCTTGATGTCATCCCACAACTTGTCTGGTCTTCAGTCATTATTGTTTAATACATTAAATATATACTTGAGGTGGTCTCTAAATTCAAGTGGGATATACTCAAAGTTGTACTTTGGCTTCATGAACTTGTTTCAGTTTTCTTTAGCTTCAACTTGAATTTGCATATATCAGCTGGTGGTCTGTTCGCAAGTTAGCACCTGGCCTTGTTCTGACTGGTGATATTGAGCTTCTCCATTGTCTCTTTCTACAGATATAGTCTGATTCCCTTCTATTCCATCTGGTGAGGACCTTATATATAGTTGCTGGCTTATGTTATTGAACTCTATCCTGCAATTTCCACTGTTATTTCTATCACTAAGGCCATATTTTCCAACTACTAATCTTTCTTCTTTGTTTCTTTTGCATTCCAAACACCAGTAATTATTAATACATTTTTACTGCATGTTTGATTGATTTCAGACTGCAGAAGTTGGTTAAAAAAAAATCTTTAATTTCTTCTTCTTTGGCATAAATTTGAATAATAGCTGTATTTATTAACTGATCTTCCTTGTAGGCAAATGGATATTGCCCTATCACTGATAGTGTTGTACTTCAGGATAGATCTTGAAATCTTCTTTTTGACAATGATTGTGATACCATTCCTCTTCAATCTATTCCTGGCATAGTAAACCATATGATTGTCTGATTCAAAAAGCCCAGTACCGATCCATTTCAGCTCATTGTTGCCTAGGATATCTATTTTCAAGTGTTCCATTTCATTTTTGACAACTTTCCATTTTCCTAGATTTATACTTTGTACATTTCATATTCTCATTATTGATGGATGTTTGCATCTGTATCTTCTTATTTCAGAAAATGAAGGTCCCAAAAGCTTTACTCCATCCACATGATTAAGGTTGACTCTAGTTTGAGGAGGCAGCTCTTCCTCAGTCATATTTTGAGTGCTTCTAACATGAGAGGCTCATCTTCAAGCACAGTATGAGGCGATGTTCTGTTGCTATTCATAAGGTTTTCACTGGCCAATGGTTTTAGAAGTAAATTGCTAGTCTACTACTCTACCACTCTACTATTTGTTTCTTTCGGCAACTCAGTTTTAACCACCGTGTATCCTTCCTTTATGTGACTAAAAGCTTGAATCTCAATCCTTAATTCTTCTTTCTCTCTCTGACCCCAGGATTGAGCAGTTTCCAGCAGAGTGTGGCAATGGACAGGATCCAACGTATTGTAGGAGTTTTGCAGAAGCCACAGATGGGGTAAGTCCCCCTGGTTCTTGACTCAATAGCTCATAAAAGTGGGACATATCTCCAGACCTGTCTCTTTTTCCCCCCATCCTTAATGGCTCTTTTCTTATGTCCCCTTCACAGGGAGCGTTACCTAGGAACCCTGCTGCAGGTAGAAGGGATGTTAAAGAGTTGGTTTCCTCATATAGCTGCGCAGACATCATCTTTGAGTGATAGCAGGCACCAACTGGTCAAGTTAAGAACTTACAAGCCTGAGAAAGAGGTAAGATAGTAACCAGAAATAAAGAAGTGTGCATGCAAAAAGGGGCTTCTCTTTCCATTTACTTCCGGCTGTTTTTCTCTTTTTATCAAGCTGCTTTTCAGAGAAGGAAATGTCTATGCTTTGTTCATTGTCTTGAATCCTAGATGATATTGGTTCTGTTTTGTTTGAATCACTGGGAAGAGCTCCATGAAATTTAATCCTGTCCCTCATGCTATAGCTTGTCTGCTTTCTGTACAAATATCTAAGGGTTCTCACTTGGTCAAATAACTCATCCAGGAAAATGCCTGAGCTTCTTTCTGCAAATGCTTTCTCCCTTGCTTCCCTCCAAAATCTTTGCTTCTCCCTCTTTTCATTCTTGTCCGAGAATATTTGTACCAAACCCTTGGAAACCTTTGAGTCTTTGCAGTGGGTTTCAAGGACTGGTCATATGAGGTGTATTATCGGGGAGAAGCACTCATAGGAGGAGTATTGGGCAGGTTCTTAGACCCAGTGGGGACATGATTTATTTTCTGTGCCTTCAAATAAGAGTATTTGAGTGGCATTCAAGTGATGGGGAGCGGAAAGTGTCCTGCAGGTAAGGGCCAATCCTTTTTGTTTTCAATCTAGCACAGCTATTATTGAGTACCTGCTGTAAGAATAATTGATTTTTTAAAATCACAGTTTGGGCGAAAGTTTACAGAGAAAATTAGTTTTCCATTCAACAATTTATGTAAATTTTGTTTAATATCTTTAGTTGCAATTCCTTTAATGTAAAGTACTATCCTTACTTCCTCCCTGGGTTCCCCATATCCATTTATCCTTCTTTGCTGCCCCTTCCTGCTTTCTGAGCTTTGTTTTAGGGCAAATGCTATCCTTCTGATCTCCTATGGTTAATTGATCTGAGTAGTACGTTTAAGTGTTCACTTCATAGGCTTGTTTGTTGTTTGACTGCAAGGTGATCCCCAGGGTGTGTTCAGTTCCAGGTGTGAAGGGTGATGAGTAAGGGCTATAGTCTCAGGGGTTCTACTAGTCTCTTATCAGACCAGTAAGTCTGGCCTTTTTTATAACTGAATTTTGTCTATATTTTTCTCTCACTCTGTCCAGAACCTTCTGTGGTCCCAACTGGAGCAGTTGGTAGTGGTAGCTGGGCACCATCTAGTTCTTCTGGTCTTAGGCTAGTGAAGGCTGTGGTTTGTGTGTACCATTAGTCCTTTGGACTAATTGTTTTCTTGAGTCTTTGATTTTCTTGAGTCTTCTTTCTTCCAGATGGGAGAGATCAATAGTTGCATTTTACATGGCCACTTGCTAGCTTTTAAAACCCCAGTCACTACTCACCACAGTAGAATATAGAATATTGTCTTTGTATCTTATGCCAATTAACTCAGATGTCCCACTAGACTGTGCTCCTAAGCCCTCAAGCCTGATGATTCATTCTTCAAGGCGTTTGGTTATAGCTAAGAAGTTTTCATAACTTTGCTCCCTGTTTGTTCTACTATAAACCAAACCAAAAACCAAACTCAGTGCCGTAGAGTTGGATCCGACTCACAGTGACCCCTCCTTGGGTTTCTGAGGTGGTATCACTACGGAAGTAGATTGCCCAACCTTCCTTCTGAGGAGTGCCTGGTAGGTTTGAACCACCAGCCTTCTGGTTAGCAGTCAAATGCCTTAGGCACTATGTCACCAGAGCTCCCTTGTTCCACTATATGCATGGTTATATTTGTAGCACATACAAATGCATATGTAGAACTATCATCTGCCAAACTTATCTATGCTCATGGGTGTAGTCTCATTTTTCTACTTAGTCCTGTTCAGCTTGCATGTCTGCCTGTGTATCCACACTCATAGATTATTATCATTTGTTATTATTGATACTGCAGGATTATGCACATAATAGTATTTACCTTTGTTGTCTGTAATAAGAATAATTTATTTAAAAATAAGCATCAAGAAGATCCTGTCTACCTGTTAGTTTATACTTCATTATACACTAAATAATTCAGAAAATTAGAATTCACAATACAGAAATTGAAAAGTGATTATTCCAATTAAAAGTAGACATTTCTTTAAAGAAATTCTAAAAGGAATCCTTTTTTATTTTTTCCAATTTTTTTTTTTAATTTTTTCCGATTTTTATTGTGATTTGGGGGAAGTTTACAGAGCAAATTCACTTTGCATACAGCAGCTCACATGTACTTTGTCTCATGATATTGACTGCAATTTCCCACAATGCAACAGCTCCCCTCCTACTTTCTCCCCACAGCCACCTCTTCCCTGTGCTCTTCCCGCCCATGCACTTCTGCCCCCCACCCCCCAGCTGTCTCCCTGTGCATACACAGCCCTTTAATTCTCCCATGATTGATCTCTCCAAGGAGTATATCTACCTAATGTAAAGGTTCAGCTCATATACCTGTGTTTTGTTTGGCTGGGTTCAATTCCAGACCTGAAGAGAAGCTAGGGGCCATAGTCTCAGTGGTTCCACCAGGCTGTATAAGACCAGCAAACCAGGTCCTAAAAAGAATCCTTTTATAAATAATGAGAACCTGTGGGACTGTTTCATTTTGTTCATCTCTGGCCATCCAGTGTCTAATATACTATGTGGTACATAGTAGGTCCTCAAGGATTTGTTGAATAAGTTAAAGTATAATTTGATGTCTAAAACTTTTACTTAACCACAATCTGGCAGGAACATGTCTTGCATAAGACAAGGTACATCTAGATTGCAAAGTGCATTCTCAAGGAAAGCAAAGATTTAAGTAACCAAGGGAGCTAACTAGAAAGATTTCTCAATAATTTTTTCTTTCTCGCCCTTTCCAGCTTTTGCCAAGACACCACACTAATCTAGCTGTCTCCTCTCCTGCACCTCCCGTGGAAAAGACGAACCAGACACAGCTTGGACATCTAGTTCTGAAACAGAAGCAGTCTTGGCACCTTACAGAATGGCCAGCCATGGACCTGACCTGGATCCACACAACTCCAATTTGCAACCCCCCACTCAGTTCCCCAGGTACCATATCCTTGAACCATGGTCCATTAGGCACTGGAACCAGCATTGGTGTTATCCTTTTACTGCAGCATGGAATGCAGCCCTTCATGCATTCTGCCCCAACCACTCCAGCTCCACCTACTACAGCATCTCCTGTCACCCCAGTAATCCTAAGAAACTATCTGGAGAAGGACTTTGTTGCCACAGTTTGCCAGTGATTCTGCCTTGAGACTAGAACTGTACTCTGTCCTTTCCTAGAACCCACGATGGCCAGAGAGATGACCATGAGACACCTAAAACAGATACGGAGCCATCCTCTAGTTGTTCTTAATGGCCACCTTCTTAACCCCTAACCCAGGACTTGTTACTCTATGGTTTCTAATTTGTATAATACATGTATATATGTTTTACTTTTAATGTATGCATTTGTGTTAAGGGAAGAGAAATCCTTTCTCATTAAAGAAATTTTATACCTAAACAGTTTGTTGATTGAATGGAAATTGAAACCTTCTGCCTTGAATACCAATCTTTATTTTCTGGACAAAGAAGAGGGATGGAAATATTTCTGAACACGAGCTCCACCGAGTTAGAAATCTGGATGGGTTGATACAGGTGATAGAGGGAAAGGGACTCTTATTTTCCTCTCTGCTGCTGTCTTCTTAGGGAAAACCGTTGGGACAGGTATGTGGTTCAGAGTTGGGTTTGCTTTTTCATTCAGGTTCAGAGACAAGTACCTTTCCCTTTGTATCTCTTATACTTGTAATCTCCCAACTGGCCTAGACTAGCAGGTTCTTTTGTTCTGGGATAGCTCTTTGCATATGTAGTCTGCTGCCAGGGGTGGGACACTAGAGCCAGAAAAGCCACTGTGATTGCCAGTTTTGAAGAAGGAGGAATGTCCTAGAATTGTCAGAGTGGGGTTCACCTCAGACACTGAACCTCATTCTTATTCCAAAAGCTGCAGCCATTAGATGTATGTTGGACTAAGGAAGGCTACCCAATGTTGTCAGGAGGCAAAATGAAGTTCATGAATTTTTCTCTATCTATCCCCTTCTGTCTATTACTCTCTTTCTGATTTGTCTCCATTTCTGCAAAACCATGTCCTCTCCCATTCTAAGCCCTTGCAGTATGCCAGGCTATTCTGTCATTTGAGTCACTGCTTACCGTCAACCTTAGCATGTTTATCATAGTTGTACATTTTCCCAACTTCATCCGCACATTGCTTGAGTCTTCTGTTCTTAGTGAAGAATTGTCTCCCTTTATTTCAGGGAATGTGAACTCCTTTCTAAAGCAAACCTCTCCATTTGTGCTTTTGATTCCATTCTTTTTCACCTCTGGAACTTCTGCTGTATCAGTTGTCCCCTCTTTATCTTGCAACTTTTATTTGTTCCCCATAATGATTACTCATTCCTCCTACAAGTGTAATCAGTTCCCCACATCTTGAAAATATCTCAAGCCTACTCATCCTCTCTCTTCTTTTCTCCATAATTCTTAATAGAGTAGGTTAATCACACTTTTTCCAGTTCCTTTTCACCTACTCAATCTTTCACCCCTTGCAGCCTACCTTTAATTACCAATAGTTTACTGCACTTTCTATGTTACTAATGACCCCACAAGGAGCTCTGGTAGCATAGTGCCTAAGGCACTTGACTGCTAACCAGAAGGCTGGCGGTTCAAACCCACCAGCCACTCCTCGGAAGGAAGATGGGACAATCTACTTCCATAGTGATACTGCCTTGGAAACCCAAGGAGGGGTTGCTATGAGTCGGGTCCGACTCGACGGCACATAACCACAACAACAACAACAATGACCCCACAGAATCAGAACAGTATAGAGTCAGAACTAGTTAATAGCTAAACCTGGGGGTATTTATAGAAGCTATGTATTTGGTGATCTCTGTATCATTTGACACTCTTGAGGCTGCCTATTGAAACTCTCCTCCTTTGGATACTATGATGGCACACTATCCTGAGTCTACTCTTACTTATCTGGCAGTGACTTCAAGGCCTCTCAATGACTCTACTCCCTCCCACCTCAGGGTGGGGATATTCCCTTAGGCTCAGTCATTAGCCCTCATTCTTCTCTGATCACATTTTTTCACTTAAAGGTTTCATCTTCTTTCATGGCTTTTTATTATTGCCTCTGCTTAGAAGACTGTTGAAGCTTCATCTGCAGTTCCAATCTTTCCCTTGAGATGATATACTGAGGGTCCAAATTTCTGCCAGAAAATTCTACTTACATGTTGCTGACACTTAAAATTCATTGAGAATATCAGCATTTTAGACCCAAGAGGTACCTTTGGTATATAATTCAATCTCTATTTCTATAAATAAAGATACTTAGATGACTTTTCCAAGACAACACAACGTGTCATACAGAACTCCTGATTTCAAGTCTGATGGTTTTTCCAGTGCTTACTGATCAAATATATTTTCTTTCCTTTAAACATATCCTGCTCCCCCTTTTCACAGGCTCCTCTGTTTCTGCTAGTACTGTCTATGATTTAAAAAAAAGAAAAAGACCAAACCCAATGCCATTGAGTGGATTCCGACCCCCATTGGGTTTCTGAGGTGGTAAACCTTTATGAAGTAGAGTGCCCTAGCTTCCTTCCATGGAGTAGCTGGTGGGTTTGAACCTCCAGATCTCCTGACTTCTAATGCAGTGCATGTTCACCATATTATGCAGTTGCCTATATAATTTATTTTGCATTTATCACAGGGTACTTTATTATTTGTCTTTTGTGTTTTCTGTTGGTCCAGGAGAAACTGGACCTGTCACAGGGTAGGCGTTCAGTAAAAAATTGTTGATAAGCGTAATGATGTGCTCCTCTAGCTTGTGTTTTTGTACTTGGGACTTGGCTTACTCTACAAAGGGTATAATTTTTGGCATGTGTTCCTATAATTGATGAGGATGCATATGTGTGTGTTTTAGGTGAGGTACTCAAAGAACCTCATTACCAAGAAGTTGCTTTGGGGTCTTGTTCTGGTTACCTAGTGCCACTCTGACAAGAATTTACCACAAATGGGCTGCCTTAACAAACAGGAGTTTATTCTCTTACAGTTTGGAGGCTTTAAGTCTGAGTTCAAAGTGCCAGGCTCAGCCTTGGGCTTCAGCTCTGCTTCCTGATCCCAGCCCACTGAAGCTGGAGGCTTTTCTTCACTTAGACAGCTGTTGGCTGCTGAGGCTGACAAGCCCAAGGTTGACAAGTAAAAAGGCATAGTCCTGATGTTACCAAACCACAGGGCAGGCCATTCATTCAAATCCATTGAAAGTCCCAAGTTGGGCAGAGTAGGGCAGGTGGCTGGACAACGATTTGATTACACACAGGGTTCAAGCATGCTAAAAGATGGAGACCATTCCCAAAGCTGTTTCTTACATACAGGAAGCACACCACATACCCAAAGCAGCTACTCAGCTCCTCCAATAGATTCCACCATGGAGTTAACTACCAATCTCACCACAGGGAATAACTGCATTCAGCTACCCAGACACTCAACCAAGCCCAGCCAAGCTGACACACAAACTTAACCACCACAGGCCTGCTTTCTTCTTCTCAGCCCTTCACTCTGTTGTTTTCCACTAGCCATTAGGTCTGAACTTATGTGAATAATCATAAATGGATATTAGAAGTAGCACATGAATGAAATAAAAGGAAGGTTATTTCCTAAGTGAGGGAGGAAGAAAGAAAAAGACATTTCTGTTAGGCTTTGAAGAAGGTGAATGAGATAGAAACTGATATAACAGATTTTTAGACCTTAAATTTTACAAATGTGTCCCATATTTTTATTGAAATGGCCATGACGATGATATTATAGTATAGTATGTTGTTGATGTTGTTATGTGCCATCGAGTGGGACCCGACTCATAGCGACCCCTCCTTGGGTTTCCGAGGCTGTATTACTACGGAAGTAGATTGCCCCATCTTCCTTCTGAGGAGTGGCTGGTGGGTTTGAACTGCCAGCCTTCTGGTTAGCAGTCAAGTGCCTTAGGCACTATGCTACCAGAGCTCCTATAGTATAGTTTGGTATAGTAAAATTCACTATCTGTTTATTTCTTTCCCTTAGTTTTCAGGCAAGTGAAGAATGTGAAGCCAGTTTTTCTTCTGGAGAGATAGCAGAGTCTGCGTCCTTTCCAAGGAGAAAACAAGAACCATGCTCAGGAAGCTTCGCCCATTTCTTTCGTTTTCCATCCAGGAGCAAAAAACAAAGGTTTAAAAATCTGTTAATAGTTTAATAGGATTACAGGATATGGAATGGGGATGAGCTTCACAGAGCCGGAAGGATGACGACTCCACGGATAGCAGAGGAACTTGTCTCCAGGAACTAAGGCAACGAGGATTTTACTTTGCCGGTGTAGAGTCCAGACCGCGGGGGAGGGAAGGTTGTCAGCTGAGGACAGAAAGACTGTTACTTTGGTTTCCACGCACAGGTTTCTTTTCTCAGCCTACGCTCCTTTGCGTGGCGCTGGGGATTCCGTCGTTTCCGCTTCCGGTCCCGGGAAGGCTTTGGGTCGACTGGGTGCTCAGTGTATCGGGTGTTGGAACTGAGGAAAAGAAGGAGGGCTCGGCTGGAAGGCGAGTTTGCGCGCGGTTGTACCCCTTTCTAAAGCCTGAGAAACTCCCATTCCAAACCCTTTCTTGGGGGAGTGAGCGAGAATGGTGGAGGGAGGGGCCACGCGGCGTCTCTGCTGCTTGTGTCGTCCCGTGCCTGGCTACGCAAGTTTTCGTGGTGACGCCTTCCTACCATCTGCTTTCTTCCTTAGGTTAAGGCTTGTATTGGCAGAAGGAAAAAGGGCGTCTTGATAAACGATTGGTGTGTACCTTCTTGGATGTGGCACTTCCACGTGTCGCTGTTTCTCATGTCCCAGAGCACGTTTCATTTCCCGATTCTGAATAAGCCGCGCGGTAGATCGTGTGGTGTGTTGCTTTCTTACCTGGTCTCTATACTTTACTTGCCCTTCATCATCGTTTAGGTACAGCTGAGTGAAGACTTTTAAATCCAAGGTCATGGCAAAACATCTGAAGTTCATTGCTAGGACTGTGATGGTACAGGATGGGAACGTGGACGGTGCATACAGGATCCTAAACAGGTAATTGTTAAGGGAACAGAATCAAGCCGAGATCAAATCTCTGGGGAGTGCAGTGGTTATTCTCACCCTTCTCCTTTCATAAATTGTTCTCAGACCAGTGCCAGACCAGATGGTCATGGACTCTTGAAACTTCTCATCTCCTCAGTTTGTTTCCTAAAATAGTGAAGTTCTTTCCAAAATCTAACCATCCAAACCAAACCTACTGCCATCCAGTTGATTCCAACTCATAGTGACCCCCATTGGTTTTCCAGGCAGTAAATCTTTAGGGAAGTAGATTGTCCTGTCTTCCTCCTGCAGAGCTGGTGGGTTTGAACTGCCAGTCTTCTGGTTAGCATTCAGATGCCTTACGTGCTGTGCCACTAGAGCTCCTTGAAGGTAACCATGTATGAAGCTTATTCAACAAGCAATCTTTCTTTTGATGATAAACCTGAATTCTATCCAAGATTTTTCAAAAGAGTCAACCCAAAGAGAAAATCAGGATGTAAAGTTACTAGAGTATAAACAAGGAAGCAGAAATATAGTATATACTCAGAAAGTTAAGGGAGAGATTTGTTTGGGACAGGGCTAATGAAGGTGAATTTAGATTAGAATGTTGGAGAAGGAAACAGATGAGGAGGCATTATAGGTCAGGGGGGTTACAGCATAAGCAAAAATATAGAAACGGAAATGAACTGACTGGAGTGGAGGAGCTATATTGAAATATTTTGAATGCCAGGCTAAGACTTAGAATGGCCCTATCATTAGAATGGACTTACCACTGTAGTTTCTCAAGCAAAAAATTCCTTAGCCTTCACTTATTACTACTAATAAAGTTTTTGACTTTTGGCATGCCACGTTCATCATATTCTCTTCCCAGTGTAAAGCAGGTTTGGTGCAACACATTTTTGAGTGTGTGTGTGTGTGCTTTGGGTGAAAGTTTACAGAGCAAATTCATTTTCTGTACAGCAGTTCATACATGTTTTGTTTCATGATACTGACTGCAATTCCCCACAGAGTGTAACAGCTCTCTTCCCTGTGTCCTTCCCTCCCACGCACTCCCACTCCCCAAGAGCTGTCTCTCGGTACAAACACTGCCCTTCTGTTCTCCTGAGATTGATTGCTCCAAGGAGTATATCTTCCTGATGTAAATGTTCTGCCCCAAAAGCCTGTCTGTTGTTTGGCTGGAAGCCACAGGAGTAAGTTCAGTTCTACACCTAAAGGATAACTAGGGGCCATAGTCTCAGGGGTCTTATCAGGTACTATCAGACCAGCAAACCTGGTCTTTTTTTTTCTGAGTTTTGTCCCACGTTGTTCTCCCACTCTATCCGGGATCTCCTGCACTGATCTCCCTTTAAGTGGTTGACAGTAGTAGCCAGGCGCCATCTAGTTTTTTTGGTTTCATGGTCATATAGGCTGAGAATTACATGGTTTATTAGTCCCTTGGACTAATTGTTTTCATGCGTCTTTGGTTTTCTGGTTTTCTTCATTCTTTGTTCTGGACAAGGAGACACCCATCATTTCATCTAGATAGCTGCTTGCAAGCTTTTAAGAGCCCAATCGCTACTCAACAAAGTAGGCTGTAGAACAGTGGTTTTGTGTAGTGTGTTATGCCAGTTGAGGTTGATGTCCTCTATGACCATGGTCCTGAGCCTACAGGTCCAACTGCTTGCTCCCTCAGGGTAGCTGGCTGTGGCCAGGAAGCCACCACAGCCTTGACCCTTGTCAGCTCTACTATATACTTGGACATTCTTTTTTTTTTTTATTAGGATTTGGGTGAAGATTTACAGAGTAAATTCACTTTTCATACAGCAGTTCACATATACTTTGTCTCATGTCATTGACCAAAATTTACAATGCAGCAGCTCCCCTCCCACTTCCTCCCCATAGTTACCTCCTCCCAGTGTCCATCCCTTCATACTCTTCTGCACCCTGAGCTATCTCCCTGTGCATAAGCAGCCCTTCCTTCTCCCATGATTGTTCTCTCCAGGGCGTGTGTCTACTTGAGGTAAATGTTTAACTCACTTGCTTGTACTTTGTTTGGCTGGAAACCACAGTTGTGGGTTCAATTCTAGACCTGAAGGGCATCTAGGGACCATAGTCTCAGTGGTTACACCAGGCTCCATTGGACCAGCAAACCTGGTCCCCACCTTCTTTTTTTTTTTTTTGCCTCCAAATGATTTTGAGTTTTGTACCACATTGTTCTCCCTCTTTATGCAGGATCTCCTACATCCCTTCCAAGTGGATGGCAGTGGTAGCTGGGCACCATCTAGTTCTTCTGGTCTCATAGTTGTATAGGTTGCAGATCGGATGGTGTACCAGTTGCTAGGACTGATTGTTTCCATTAATTTTGGTTTTCTTCTTTCTTCTTGACGAGGAGAGACCCGTTGTTGCATCTAGATGGCAGCTTCCTAGCTTTTAAAGTCCCAGTAGCTACTCGCCAAAGTAGGAGGTGGAACAATGTTTTGTATAGTATGTTATGCCAATTGAGTTTGATGTCCCCTGCGACTATGGTCCCAAGCCCGCAGGATCAACTACTCGGTCCCTCTGGGTAGCTGGCTGTGACCAAGTAATGACCCTAACCTTGCCCCTTGTCAGCTCTACTGTACACCTGGGAATTCTGATCATTCACATGAACTTGTAGGCCCATTGTCTGCCAACCCTATATATGATCTTGGATACACTCTCCATTTAGACATACCTAATTGTTTATCTTGTTCACCCATCTATCCGTCCCTATACCCATGTTTGCTTTCATTGACAACTCAGTATCGTATATGCAAAGGGGTTCATATTTGTTGTTTGTACTTGGACATTCTTACAGCACATACAAGTGCACATGTAGAAACATTGTCTGCCAACCTTATACATGGTTATAGGTGCAACAATTTTGCTGTTGAGTTGAAGTATTAAAAGGTTGTATGAGCAAGGTGATCACTTTATTTCACAAGGGAAATCTGAGAGAAGCTTATCTTCATGTGCCATTGTCTGGGATTGTTATAAATAACTTGGAGTCATACTTCTATACATTTACTTCTTCCAAAATTCAGTATCTTTTTTTTGTATAATGAGCATTAGGTGTTTGCTTTTCCTGTTTTTTCTTTATTTTTAACTTTATCTAAAATCCTTCCTGATCCCTAGGTAAGCAAGTGTGGTGGGTGAGGGAAGAATAAAAATATGGCAGAAGGTAGAAGACACATTTAGATACTTTCTGCCATTTAGCCTGGCTTTGGTACTATATCAGACCTTCTTGTTCTTAGAAATCTATTGTCAAATTCTTCTTAATGTATCTCTCTTTTTTTTCTGTTGCCAAAAAGCAGCCCCATGCATTTTTATTTTATTTTTTTATTGCAGTAGAATATGTGTAACAGAAAATTTGCCATTTTGACTGTCTTTAAGTCTATAGTTCAGTGATATTAATTATAGTCATAAGGTTGTACAACCATCACCTCTGTTTCTAAAAGTTTGTCATCACCCCGAACAGAAACTTTGTACTCCATGAGTACTAAATGCCCATTTTTCCTTGCCCACACTCCATGGTATCACTAATCTACTTTATGTCTTTATGTACTTACCTCTTCTAGGTATTTCATGTAAGTAGGGCTATACAGTATGTGTCCTTTTATGTCTAACTTACTTCACTTAGCATAATGTTTTTCAGGTTTATCAATGATAAAGCATATATTAGAACATCAGTCCTTTTTATAGCTGAATAATGTTCCATTGTAAGTATATACCACATTTTCTTTATCCATTCTTCTGTTAATGGACATTTTGGTTGTTTCCACCTGTTTACTATTCTGAGTTGTGCTCCATTGAACATTGATGTCCGTGTGATTACATTGCTGCTTTCAGATCTCTTGGGTATCTACCTAGGAGTGGATTTGCTGTGTTGTATGGTAGTTCTGGTAGCATAGTGCCTAAGGCACTTGACTGCTCACCAGAAGGCTGATGGTTCAAACCCACCAGCCACTCCTTGGAAGGAAGGTTGGGCAATCCTACTTCCGTAGTGATACTGCCTCGGAAACCCAAGGAGGGGTGGCTATGAGTCGGGGCCGACTCGACGGCAAAACAACAACAACAACAACATGGTAGTTCTGTGTTCAACTTTTTGAGAAACGGCCAAACTGTTTTCCCCAGCAGCTGTACCATTTTATATTCCCACCAGCAATGGATAAGGTTTCCAATTTCTCCACATTCTCACCAACATTTGTTTTCCATTTTTTTTAACATTAGCCATCATAACCCACCCACTGCCATCGAGTTGGATCCGACTCATAGCAGTCCCTCCTTGGGTTTCCAAGGTGGTATCACTATGGAAGTTGATTGCCCTATCTGAGGAGTGGCTGATGGGTATGAACCGCCAGCCTTCTGGTTAGCAGTCAAATGCCTTAGTCACTACACCACCACAGCTCCTGTTAGCCATCATGGTGGGGGTGAAATGGTATTATTATGGTTAACTTTGCATCTGCCTAATGACTAATAATGTTGAGTATCATTTCATATTCTTGTTAGCCATTTGTGTATCTTCATTGGAGAGATGTCTATTTAAGTACTTTGCTCATTTTTTGATTGAGTTTTTGTCTTTTTATTGTTAAATTGTTGTTGTTAGGTGCTCTTCAGTTGATTTTGAACGAAACACTGCCTGGTCCTATGCCATTCTCACAGTCATTTCTGTGCTTCAGCCCATTGTTGGAGCCACTGTGTCCATCTATCTTGTAGTATCTTTCCCTTTTTCGTCGACCCTGAGCTTTACCAAACATGATATCCTTCTCCAGGGACTGGTCCCTCCTGATACCATGACTAAAGAACAAGAGATGAATGAAGTCTGGCCATTCTCACTTCTAAGGAATATTCTGGCTATACTTCTAAGATTTTTTTCATTCTTCTGGTAGTCTATGATATATTCAGTATTCTTCCCTAGCACCACAATTCAAATGTATCTGTTCTTCTGTGATCTTCCTTATTCATTGTTAGAGTTCTTTATAAATTCTGGATATTAAACTCCTATCACATGTATGATT